AGAGCGACGAGGGTGCAGTGGAGAACATTTCTCTGCAGACGTAAACCTGCTTGAGGTCTCGGACAATTCGCTTGGGATATTCGCGTATTATGGTTATGATTATCACCTTTCTTGTTGCCCACTTCTGGGTCATACGGAGGTCGGGGTGGCCTGGATTTCGAAGTTCGATTTGCTCGTGCGGGTCTGGTGTGGGTTTCGCACCCGTGACATCCGATCCCATAATTGGAAAGAGCGTATTCTACCGCTGCTGGCGGAAAACTGGAGGGGGTCACTACCGGTTCGAACCCCTCCCCCGCCCCCCTTCGGAAAACCGGGGGGGGGGGTTCACTACCGGTTCGAACCCCTCCCCCCCCCCCCCTCCCCAGTCCATCATGAAAAAGGGGGGTGGGGGGGGGGGGGGGGGTCACTGCCGGTTCGAACCCCCCCCCCTCGCAAACCGGGGGGGGGGTGCGGACAGTGGTGGGGACGGTGGTGGTGGGGACAGTGGTGACGGGACAGCCGGACAGTGGTGGGGACTGGGACAGTGGTGGGGACGGTAGTGGTGGGGACAGTGGTGAGGACAATGGTGGGAACAGTGGGGGCAGTGGGACAGTGGTGGGGACGGTGGTGGTGGGGACAGTGGTGTAGGGACAGTGGGAATGTGGTGGAAACAGTAGGACAGTTGAGGGTACAGTGGTGGTGGGGACAGTGGTGAAGGCGGTGGCGAGGACGGCGGTGGGACAATTGGACAGAGGTATAGTGGGGACAGTGGTGGGGACACTGGGGTCAGTGGTGGGAACAGTGGGACAGCTCAGTGGGACAGCGGAGGAGTCAGTGGGACAGTGGGGACAGTGGGGATAGTCGGGCAGTGGTTGGGGCCGTGGAGAAAGTGGGGAGAGTGGAACCGTGGTGGGAACAGTGGTGGGGACAGTGGGGACAGTGCGACAGTGGTGGTGGCACTGGTGGGGACAGTAGGGGCGGTGGTGGAACCAGTGGGGACAGTGGTGGTGAGGACAGTGGTGCTGGGAACAACAGTGGGGGATGTGGTGAGGACGGTGGTAGGGACCGGGAGTCGTTTGATGGCGGTGAGAGGGGAGGGTGGGGAGGGGTTCGAACCGGTAGTGACCCCGGGGGGGTTCGAACCGGTAGTGACCCCCTCTGGTTTTCGAGGGGGAGGGGGAGAGAGGGGGGAGGGGTTAGGGAAGGGGGGGTTTTTGCCGGGGGATGGGGGGGGGGATTCCAGCAGGGGGGAAGGGGGGGATTTTCGGAGGGGGGGGGGCCCCCGGGTTCCGAAGGAAAAGGGAGAGGGGGGGAATTTTCCACAGTAAAGCGGCGGTGGATCACGCTCTCTCGAAAATTGCGAGTGGTGCGCGCTCGCGTGCAACTGTCGGGCTCGAGCTCTGTAATGAGTTTCGATCTCTATAAGACAGGCGGCTTTGGATCCTAGAGTGCGAGAGTGTAACTGCCAGCGTGCCGTGCCGTACTGTGCTGTGCCCGCGTGCCGTGCCGTGCCGTGCCGTGCCGTGCCGTGCCGTGCCGTGCCGTGTTTTGTGCGCGTGCAGTGCCGTGTTTGGTTGTGAGAGTGCGGAAGAGTCGCCGTGCCGTGCCGTGTCCGCGTGCCGTGCCGTAGCGTGCCGTGCCCGTTTTCGAGAGCGCGAAAGAGTTGCCCCGCCGTGCCGTGCCCGCGTGCCGTGCCGCACCGTGCACGGGTACGATGATGCGAAACCGTTGCCGTGCCGTGCCGTTCCGTAACGTGTTTCGGTTCGAGCATGCGAAGACGGCGCCGTGCCGGGTCGCACCCGCGTGTCGTTCCGTGCCATGCTTCGTCTCGAGAGTGCGACAAAGTTCCCGTGCCGCGCCGTGCCGCGTCCGCGTGCCGCGCCGTGCTTGGCTTTGTGAGTGCGAAGGACTTGTCGTGCCGTGCCGTGCCGTGCCGCACCCCGCATGCCGTGCCGTGCTTGGTTTTGGAGGTGCGAAAAAGCTGCCGTGCTGTGCCCGCGCTCCGTGCCGTGCCCGCGTGCCGTGCCGTGCGTGGTTTCGGAGGCGCGAAGAAGTTGCCGTGCCGTGCGCGCGTGCCATGTCGCATCGTGCCGTGCTTGGGTTCGAGAGCGCGAGAAGATGCTGTGCCGTGCCGTGTCCGCGTGACGTACCATGTTCGGTCTTGATCGTTTGAACGGGCTGCCCTGTCGCGCCGTGCTGGGCACAAGTGCCGTGCCGTGCTTAATTTGCGAGTGCGAAGAAGCCGTCGTGCCGTACCGTGCCGGCCTTGTGTTTTATCATGCAGCTTTGATGTTGCGGGTCTCGATGCTGGTGTGCGAGCAGCATGTGCACGATGAGGGCGATGCGATCGAATTGCGCCAGCTCAACGATCAGGAAGAGAGGGTGCGTAGGGAAAAGAAAGGGAAAGGGACGGGGGAGGCCGGTGCGAGAGGGAGGGCGTGCGGGGGGGAGGGGCGGAGGGGGGGATTCGGGGAAGGGTCCTCCTCCTCCTCCTCCTCTTCCTCCTCCTCCTCCTCCTCCTCCTCCTTCTCCTCCCCCTCTCCCTCCTTCCCTCCCTCCTCCCTCCCTCCTGCTCCGTTCCCCCCCCGTCTTCGCCCCGCCCCCTCCCTATGCCGAGGGGCCCTGTGCTGCGGCGGGCGCCCCCCCCGCCGCGCGCCGCCGCGGCCGCGCCCCCAGGAGTGCGCGGCCGGGCGCTCGGGAGGTTCCGTGTCGATCCGGCGCGGCCTCGACGGGACGCCACCAGGAGGACTCTTCCAGGCTCTTCCTTCCGACCTCCTCTCCTCCTCCTAGCCTTTCCTCCTCCTCCTATCCCTCCTGCTCCATCCCGCCTCCGGCCTCCGCCTCCTCCTCAGCCTCCTCGTCCCGTCCGTCCTCCTCCTCCTGCCTCCGTCCGCTACCCCTACCTCCTCCTCCTTCCTCCTCCTAATCCTCTCGTCGTCGTCCGTAGTCCTCCTCCTCTCACTCTCCTACTCCTCCGGTCCTCCTCCTCCTAATCCGCCTGCCGCCTCCTCCCTCCTCAATCCTCCTTGTCCTCCTGCCCCCCCCCCCTTCCTCCTCCTCCTTCACCTCCTCTCTCCTCCTCCTCATCCTCGTCCTCTGCCCCTCATGCTCATCCTCCTCATCCTCACTCCTCCTCCTCCTCCTCCTCCTTCGTCTTCTCCCCCTCTCCTCCTACATCCCCTCCTCCTCCTCCTCCTCCTCCTCCTCCTCCTCCTCCTCCTCCTCCTCCTCCTCCTCTTCCTCCTCACTCCTCTCTCTCTTCCCTCCCCTTCCCGCCCCTCTGCAACCACACAGGTGTAGCCCGAGCGGGGCAGCTTTCTTCCGCATGTTTTTTTGTCGGACGCGCAGGATTTCAAAAGGTGGTCTTTCTTATGTTCTTCTTCAACTGGAACGTTCCTGGCTTTCCAATATGTCGTTCACGCTGCAGCGTTGGCAACATTTCAGGATCGGCGCTTTGTTCCCGTCTTTCAGATTCGCGCTCTCGCCCCATCGCGGGCTCCTTCTCACGTGCCTGCTGTTGCGGCTGTTCCTCCTCCTCCTCCTCCTCGTTCCTTATCCTGCTGCTCATTCTGCTGCTTATCCGCCACCTTCTCTTCCACCTCCTCCAAAGTACGAAGCTCCCCCTTTCTGCTTGCGCACAACGCGACAGGGTCATACTGGGGGTACCAGGCTTGCCATGCCATCCGTATGCCGATGTAGAAACGTCAGCGCAATGGGGCGGGAAGGGTGGGAGGGGTGAGATGTCAGGTATGGCGCGAGCGCACCGCTCTTGTCCTCCCTCTCTCCTTCCCTCGCCGTCTCCGAATCGGAATGCCCCCCCCCCCCCCCCCAGGTGCTTCTCTCCACAGAAGTGACAAGAGGCGGGTTCCAACAACCAGCCCACTCTTCGCCCTTCGAGCCCCAGGGCGTGCTGGACCTCTGGAATATACATATGAGCGCCTCGGAGCCTGTGCTCTTGAGGGGACACAGCATCGGTCGAGGACGGCTCCGCGTGCGGATCATGTATTAAACATGGAGGGATTTAGTGTTAAAAACAACGATGAGTTCATGCAAACATTTATTCATAAACTGATCATGTGTAAACGAAATCATATATTGTAAGTCCCGTGTATTAGAAACTGCACTGTATCCTTTCCTGCACCGTGCCCCAGGGGCCCCAGGGCGAAGGGCTCGCAGTGGGAATCCTGAGGCTCTTGTCGCCCTCGCTGCCCGGAATGGCGGAGCCTTGGCAGCAGCCGCCTTGGGTTAAGTCGGGCGTATCCCCCTACAGGGGGATTTTCGACGAACAAATACCACAAAAATGCCCCCAAAAGGTTAAAACATATTAGACTATTTTTGTTATCTTTTGGGATTATTTTTTGATTATCTTTTGGGTGTTTTTTATTTTCGTCGAAAATCCCCCTGTAGGGGGACAGGCCCGACTTAAGCCTTGGGTGCCGGCTCCCCGTGGCTCAGGCCGTGCCCCTGCCGGCGATCGCGCGCCGCGGCCGTCTGGCTTGACCCCGCCAGCTGCTGCTGCTGCAGCGGCTGCGCGGCTGGCCCTCCGTCGCCGTCGCCCGGAGCTGGTGCAGCAGCCGATAGGGGGCCACATGCGAACCCTACCCCTGCCCCCCACGATTTCTGAGGGGGAGGGTGGGGTTCACTTCGTTCGGGAGCTCTCGAGCGAAGTGAACCCCACCCTCCCCCTCAGAAGTCGTGGGGGGCAGGGGTAGGGTTCGCATGTGGCCCCCTAGCCGAGGCGGGGGCGGCCCTGCTGGCCGTTAGCTGAGAGATGGATGCCAACTCGTTCTGCTCGTCGGAGGCCCTGGCGGCGAGGCTCCGCTCGCAGGCTGCCATCACGTGACCATCAGGGGCAGTGACCAGGCAGGAAGAGTGTGGGGCAGCCTGCTCAGAGGCTGGAACATGTTGCCCTGCTGCCTTTCTCGTCCTCGACGATCTCGGCTTCCGTCTCCCGAATGGCCTCGAGCTCCTTTCGCACGAGACCTTCCTGCTGCTCATTGTGTCGCCGAGCGTTCGGCACTTTGACTTGTAAGCTTCGACGGTGCTCGAGCTGCTTCTGATGCCTGTTGCGTCTGTCCGATGCTGCTGTAGCTGGGCACTGGTCGGCTTGGCAGCGGTTCCGATGCCGCGCACGGCCCGGAGGCTCGTCTACTGAGCCCTCTCCGCTGGGCCGCCAACCGTTGCCAGCCTCGAACTTATCCTTATCCCTAAGATTGACACGCCAAAAAGCGATGACAATCTTAGGGATGCGCCCTCAAAAAATAAGGGAATCCCTAAGATTGGCATCGCGATGAGGAGATGCACAGCATAGGGATAGGGATATGTTCCAGGCCGCCAACCGCACCCAGCTTCGCGATGATGTCGAGGGCCCCTTGGCAGACCTTGATCTGCCGACCCGAGTTGTCGGGCGGCTGTGGATCGCCTCCCGCCCCGCCGAGCTCCGTGGAGGCAGGGCGGTGCTGCAGCTGGTCCTGGTGATGATGATGATGATGATGATGATGATGATGATGATGATGATGATGATGATGCTGATGCTGATGATGATGATGATGATGATGATGATGATGCTGATGATGATGATGATGATGATGATGATGATGATGATGATGCTGATGATGATGATGATGATGATGATGATGCTGATGATGATGATGATGATGTGATGATGATGATGATGATGATGATGATGATGATGATGATGATGATGCTGATGATGATGATGATGATGATGATGATGATGATGATGATGATGATGATGATGATGATGATGATGATGATGATGATGATGATGATGATGATGATGATGATGATGATGATGATGATGATGATGATGATGATGATGATGATGATGATGATGATGATGATGATGATGATGATGATGATGATGATGATGATGATGATGATGATGATGATGATGATGATGATGATGATGATGATGATGATGATGATTGATGATGATGATTGATGATGAGGAGGAGGAGGAGGAGGTTACCAAAGGAGCGCAAAGCGAACAACGGAGGAGAAGGAGGAGGAGGAGGAGGAGAAGGAGGAGGAAGACGAGGAGGATAAGGAGGAGGAGGAGGAGGAGGCGGTAGCCCTGGGGGATCATTATCTCCAACCACTTGCCTTGCTCGGCCTCCCTCAGGCGTCGCACCCTGGCGGTCCCGCACAAAGACACAACTCGAGGGCGACATGGACAGGGTCGCTGCGTCGGCGTTGGCTGATTTTCAGGCGGAGGTCGAGATGCACCAGAGGCGCGTCAAGTCCCTCGAAATCAACCAGGCCGTCAAATATGCGCAAGCAAAGACGCTGCTCCCCGACACCGTCACCAAAGAAGAGCCAGGATATCCAGTGTCGGACCCGCAACTCCATGGGATGCCCAGCAAGCTTTTGGACGCGGGGGCGAAAAGGCTTGGCTTCGAGGTCAGCGACTTCAAGAAGCAAGCCACCGCCAAGGCCACGCAGGTCAAGGCGACGATCCCTGGACCACTGGGCCCAATCCTCCAAAGGGCGTGTCAGCTGCTGGCGCTGCCGCTTCTGGTCCTAGTGGTTCTGGCGGTTCTGCTCCTCCCATCCAAGGTGTTCCAGCTGCCGTGGAGTGGGCCGCCGAGGATCCAGACCTGGTCGAGCACTTCAAAAGCTGTGGATCTGATGCAGACCCAGCAGGCACTTTGTGGAACACTTTGTGGGAGGCCCCCAGAAGGTCGCCAATAATACGCGGGTTTGGCGCATTCAATGGTTTCACGGTGTCGTCAAACAACTTTAACTCATGAGTTCTTGCGCAGACGCTTACGGAGTGGGCCCGCACAGGCTCGTCTCTCCCGTTGCCCCACGTACTCTGCCTGCAGGAGGAAAAGCTGAATTTCGCGGACAGGGTTTAAGCGGCATCCAGGTTGTCGTCCAGTCGTGGGTTCCACCGCAATAATGTCTTCGCTATTTCCGCGGGTGGTGGGGGCACAGAGAGGATCGGCGGGTGCGCAGTCCTATCGAGGATAACGGCATCCCCCACTCCTTGCTCGACGGAACTACTATTGCCCCCATGGCTTGTCGATCGTATGCCTCGACATCGGTTGTGAGTTGCCTCTCTACCTATGTTCGGTCTACCTCACCACCACAGTTGGCCTCAGCGGCGATAGCTTCGACCTCCTCGAGGGCATCGTGGGCCTCGCTGGCAATCTCAGAGGACCGTGGTTGCTTCGGGGAAGATCGTGACATGCGACCAGGGGAACTAGAGGAATGGGTCAGGCATGGTAAACTATAGTTAGAACACATTCGACAGGGAGCCGCCGTCTGCAGACAGGGAGACATACCTCGGCATTGTCTCAAGCGCGATCTTCCCCTTTGTTTCCAAAAGTTGAAGCAGCGCAGGGCCCCGCGGCCGAGTCGCGCGCGCCTGCTGCCGCCGTATTCTCGGGGCTTCGTCGGGGGGCCACTGCGTCGAGGGCGGTGCGTCCGAAGAGGTTCCCGATCGAGAGGCCCCTGCCAGTCCGACCTACTCCTGTCGAGGCGCAGAGTGAGGAGTGGGTTTGGGGAGCTGGTCAGCCGCTGTCTCGGGATCCTGGAACGGCGTGCAAGTGCTGGCTGGACAACGTTGAGTCATGCCTGGTCCAGCTGCGTGCCGTCTGCCAGCGCAGCTGAACAGGGCGCAGTGCAGGCCTGAAGGGGGTGAATGTGGTGTTCGGGGCGGCTTGGGAGCAAGATGTCAGAGTGGGCTCCTGCCTCGTGTGCCGGCAGTGGCCCTCCTGCCTCTCGGCTTTCGCGCGCCTTCGCGCGGTCGGCTGCGGCGCGAGGGGGGGGGTCTCTGTCGCTTGGCTGCCCGCGGGCGGCAGGCGCGCACCTGGCAGTGCATTTCAGACAACTGGTCTTCGGGGGGCCCGCTGTCGGCATGGGCTGGGCACCCATGGCCTCGCTTGTCTGTCTTGTTCAAGGGGTGGGCGAAGGGCCTTAGAGTCCTTGGAAAGGGGGTCGGGATTCCTGTCAATGCTGCGCAGGCTTGCGATCGCGAGTTCTTGGGGCTGTCTGGGGGCCGATGATCTCGGGGCCCATGGTTGCGAATGGCGGCGTCGCCGCAGGCTGCAGCGACTCGCTGGCTTTCGACCAATTGCTTGTGCACGCGCGTCTAAAGAAGTTTCAGTTGAGCAAATCTTCAGGTCTCGTTCCATACTTAGCTGGCGGTGTCCTGTTGACAGTTGTAAACGGTGGGGGCTCTAGGGCCGCGCCTGAGCAGGACGCGCAGCCAACCGGGGTCAAGAGAGAATCACAGCGTGTCGGGCGACTAAGAGGAGCTGTGCCAGTGTCAGCACGACAAGGGGTGGGGTCTCCCGCGGCGGCGGCGGTCCGGGGTTCGGCTGTCGCTGGCATCTCAGTGCAGAAGCATCGCTTGCTCCGCCTCGGCACCCTCCGCGCGGAGGGTAGAGTGCCCCCCCGGGACCTCATTGGCTCTCAGGCTCAGGGCCGCGCCTCGGGGTGCTCATAGGGACCCGTTTGTGCTTCGCACAGTGGAAGTGGCAAAGTATTGGGCTCTTTCTGCGGCTTATCGGCGGCCCAGCCTCCAGAGGCCTGCCTGGGGGCCGCCCGCGGGGTCCTTTCCAGGCCTCGGCCCCAGTCCCAAGTTGTAGGCCCTGCTCAGGCAGGGTTACTGTCTCTGGTCCGCGCTGGGTCTGCCAGTTCCATTGTCTATGGCGTCGCATGGGGACTTTATTGCGACTCGGTTTCCTCTTGTGTTCGCGGAGCATGTAGCCCGGCACTCGGCGCTTGCAGCCTCGGGTGTTGCGGCGCCTTTCGTGGGGCGGGGGGTGCTTGGTTCCCGTTTCTTTATTGGGTCCCTGTTGCTGCCGTGCTTGCCGAGGGGTGCGCCGAGGGTTGGGCGGCGTCCATGGCGGCAGCCATTCGTTCGCTTGTGGTGGGCAATCGCTAGCCTCGGGCCCGCCTTCCCTCTCGCGGTGAAGCCTTGCGTGGTCGTTGTGCGCGTTGCGGTGGCCCCGGGGCTCTCCGTCCATCGCTTCTATCTGCGCATCAAATTTCTCGGGGCTCGGGAAGGAAAGCTGCCCGCCTCATTTTCAGCAAGCTGCTCGTTTTTGTCAGTGGGCTCAGTGAATAGTTCGGTGCGATGCTTTCGCGTTGTCTCTGGCCCAGTTCAGAGTTCGCCTCTCCCCGCCGCGAGGCGCCCGAGGAAAGCTGGTTGAGGTTTGTCAGCGCGTGTCCTAGTTCGAGTGTTTGAGCCGAATCTCCGTCGACGGGTGCGCTTCCCATGCGGCCCGTGCTGGGCTGAATGGAGCTGGGGGGGCCGTGGTGGCTGTCGACTGTGCGGGCCAGCTTGGCGCGGCAACGCGCGGCGTTGTGTCACTTTTGTTTGCCGCTTCCCATGTCGCTAGAGACAGGGGGTTTTCTTTTCCGCGTGTTGAGTTACACCTCTGGGTGGAGTGAATGGGGCCCGCTTGCAATGGTCTGCGACTGCGCGGGTGCATGACTCGCGGGGCTTCTCTGACTTCTCGATCCCGGGCGTCAGCTTCTGGGCCAACTGGCAGGGCGGCGTCGGGCAAGGGGCCCGAATCTGCATGGTCAAAGCACGCCGGTGAGAGCGATGTGCTAGGACTGATCAGGATCTCCGGCTAGTACGAGAAAGCGGCCGACAACTTTGGCCGACAGGGAGTTCAGGTTTGGGGCGTGCCAGAGGAATGGCCCTTGTTTGTCTCGGGATGTGCGAGAGTTGTTTGAGACTGTGGCCCGTGGCGCGGCCGTGCCCAGACAGCCTTCTGGTCGCTGGGCCAGCCGGACTCGCGCGGCGTAGCAGGCGCATCATACATCGAGTTCGAGGTCGAGACTCCGCAGGTTTTCTTAGACTTGTGCCAGGAGGAGGGGTGCGTTCTTTTGATGGGGGCCCCAGGGCTGTGGGGCTGCGGTGTCTCCGTCGCCGCCCCCTCCGCCTCCCCCGCTGGGCCCGGGAACTTTGTCCGGGCCTCTGAGGTCGCTTGGGGGTTCCTGTGACAGTCTGTCGTCCGGGCCGAAATTCAGGCTGAGTGTGGAGATGGGCTTCTGGATCTGCTTTTCTGCCGGGCCTCGGCGCGCCAGTCTGCGCGAGGGGGCCTCTTGTGCACCTGCAAGGGTCCTCTCGCGCTGGACAAATAGGGGCCACATGCGAACCCAACCCCGTACCCCCCACGATTTCTGAGTGGGAGGGTGGGGTTCACTTCGCTCGGGAGCTCCCGAACAAAGTGAACCGCACCCTCCCCCTCAGAAGTCGTGGTGGGTAGGGGTAGGGTTCGCGTGTGGCTCCATAATTAAGAGACCCAGGGATCTCGGCTCAGGCGGAGCCTGCTCCCAGGACAACGTGGGCGAGGCCGCCGTGGGGCTTCCGTTTGGGCCAGCACAGGGAATCCAAGCCGCTTGGGGCCCTTTGCTGGCTTGTGGGCCCTCGGGGTGGCCGCTTGTGGAGCGTCGGGCCTTGACGCTGATGCTGCGGATGTCCTCCCTGCGACGGCCCTAGCCCTCTAACTCGCCCATCGTCGTCATTCCTTCGCTCGCCGTCCCGCATAATGCCAGGTGGCACGGCTTTAAGTCCCCAGAGGCGCTTGCTGCTTGGAAGAGTGACCAGCGTAGCAGGGGGGGGTGCTTCTGGTGAGTGGGACGAGGAGGCATATTGGCTGGCCTTGTCGGCTAGGTGCCAGGCGGTGAAGACCCACCCCGCATCATCAGTGCCCTCGGTGCCTCCCTCCTCTTCCTCCTCCTCTTTCGCCTTCACCGCCTCCTCCTCCTCCTCCTCCTCATCCTCTTCCTCCTCCCATCTCCCTCCGCCACCTCTTCCTCCCCCTCCGCCACCTCGTCGTCGTCGTCCTCCTCCTTCTCGCACCCCCGCCCCGCGCGACAGCCTGCGCCCCGCCCGTCCAGGACCTCTTTCACGCGGCGGCGCCTTGGGTCGAGCGCCTCCGCCCGCCCCGCGGGGCCCCTCCGTGTAACGGACGAAGGTGTCGCCGCCGCCGCCGCCGCCGCCGCCGCCGCCGCCGCCGCCGCCGCCGTCGTCGTCGTCGTCGTCGTCGTCGTCGTCGTCGTCGTCGTCGTCGTCGTCGTCGTCGTCGTCGTCGTCGTCGTCGTCGTCGTCGTCGTCGTCGTCGTCGTCGTGTTGGTGTTGGTGTTGGTGTTGGTGTTGGTGTTGGCGTTGGTGTTGGTGGTGGTGTTTTTGTTTGTGTTAGTTCTTGTTCATGTTCTGGTCTTGGTCTTGGCCTTGGTCTTGGTCTTGGTCTTGGTCGTCGTCGTCGTCGTTGTCCTCGTCGTCCTCGTCGTCGTCGTCGTCCTCGTCGTCGTCGTCCTTGTCGTCGTTGCTGTTGCCAGCGCCAGCATCCGAGTTCCGAGGGCTGGCTTTCGCTCTTTTCGGACCGCTGGGAGGCTGCCCGTCGCCGCGGCTGAAACCCACGTCGAGTTGCAGGCAACTTTGGGGAGGGGTGGGGGCAGATGTTCGGGAGGAGGACGGGGCGGATGGGGGAGGAGGGGGGGGGGACGGGGGATGAGAGGATGATAGTGCGATTCTCGGGCAAACCCACTGATAGCGCGTGCATGTAACAGCTCGGCGCGGGGGGCACATTTCATGTGGATCTGAAATGCCAGGGGCTGCGTCAGCGGTGTCAGGTTCCGATGCTAGAACAGCACCTTTCCACGATGAGCGGAATACTACATTCTATAATGATGTTTGAGGACAAGGACAGGGAGGACGGGGAACCACATGATGATGGGGATGGAGTGCTGCGGGTCGGAGAAACCATAGGAGAAACACACATGAGGAAGAGGATAAGTGAACCGACGGGGATGGGGGGGGGAAACAAAAAGGAGAGGATGGAGACGGATAGAGAGAAGGAGGGACATGAGGGAAATGGAGGAGTTGGCTGGCAAGAGGAGGGGCGTGGATGATGAGATGATGATGATGCTGATGCTGATGCTGATGATTATGATGATGCTGCTGATGATGATGCTGCTGCTGATGATGATGATGATGCTGCTGATAATGATGATGACGATCATGATGCTGATGCGGCTGATGATGCTGATGATACTGCTGATGCTGATGATGTTGATGATGGTGATGATGACGATGATGCTGATGCTGGTGCTGCTGCTGCTGCTGATGATGATGATGATGGTGGTGCTGGTGGTGGTTGTGACGATGATGATGATGATGATGAGGATGAGGAGAAGGAGGTGTAAGAGGAGAAGGAGAAGGAGGAGGAGGCGGAAACGGAGACGGAGACGGATGCTTAGGATGCTGCTGCTGATGGTGATGATGATGATGATGATGATGATGATGATGATGATGATGATGATGATAATGGTGATGATGATGCTGATGGTGATGATGATGCTGATGCTGCTGCCGATGATGGTGATGATGATGATGCTGATGATGATGCTGCTGCTGCTGATGATGATGCTGATGCTGATGATGCTGCTGCTGCTGATGATGATGATGATGCTGATGCTGATGCTGATGCTGATGCTGATGCTGATGCTGGTGATGATGATGATGATGATGATGATGATGATGCTGATGATGATGATGCTAATGATGATGATGATGATGACGGTGATGATGATGCTGATGATGATGTTGTTGATGATGATGATGATGATGATGATGATGTGATGATGCTGATGCTGATGATGATGATGATGATTGATGATGATGATGATGATGATGATGATGATGATGATGATGATGATGATGATGCATGATGATGATGATGATGATGATGATGATGATGATGATGATGATGCTGATGATGTGATGATGATGATGATGATGATGATGATGATGATGATGATGATGGATGATGATGATGAGGAGGAGGAGGAGGAGGAGGAGGGGAGGAGGAGGAGGAGGAGGAGGTGATGGAGGAGGATGATCCAGGGTGGGCGGCCGCCCGCTGCAAGGGGGCGTGCGTGGCCCCGCGCCCCCCCTCTACACCGCCGCTTCAGCCGCCTGCTCCTCTCCGCGCGCGATCGATGACGAGGATCCTCACGGCGGCAGCGCCGAGGCTCCGACCCAGAACCGCTCGTTGCCGGCACGGGCCCGGAACGGGCCCCCGCCACGCCCACCTCATCGCGCGGCGGGCTCGGCGCAGGAACGTGGCCCACGACGGCGCCTCCTGCGTCTTCGCCTACGGCGCCACGGGCTCAGGCGGGGGGCCGGCGGCGGCGCGCGCGCCGCCCCCGCCCCGCCGCCCTCCCCGCCCTCGCCGCCGCCTCGCCGCCCCTCCCCTCCTCTCCTCTCCTGCTCGCAGGGTCCCCTGGCTCCCAGCACCCCCAGAACCCACCTCTCCGCTCCCCTTGAACTCCTCCTCCTCCTCCTCCTCCTCCTCCTTCCTGCCTTTCCCCCTCCTCCCCCTCTCGGCGCCAGCTCAGGGTGCTCTTGCAGCAGAGCCAGCGCCTCGGAGCTCCCGGCGCCGCGATGGACTGCGTGCGCCGCCCGCGCCGTCTGAAGCGGTCGGCGGCAGCCCGTCGCGCGCAGGTGCAGCGGGCGCGTGCTGTGCAGCATCTGCTCTCTGGCTGTGTCGAGCTGGCGAACCGTCGCGGCTGCCAGCTTAGCCAGCTCGCGGCTGCCCTGCACGAGGCGCTGGCGCAGCCCCCGCCGGTGGCTTCCATGGGGGCTGTTGCGACCGGTGCTGAAGCTGGTCGCGACTGAGGTCATGGTTGTGATCGCGAAGATGTGGGCATCACGTCCGAGGTGGTGCTGCAGGTGGTCGCTATTCTGCCCTGGGACCTCCTGGTCATTCAGGCCGTCGTGAGGGCAAGGGCAAGAGCAAGAAGGATTGCAAAGCTGTTCCTCGGCCTCCTGCTCGCGCCCCTCCTGCAGATGAGGCGCGTTCCCCTGGTGCTTCTTTGCCACGAAGCTGGCCCTGCTCAGCGCCCCACCGCTGGACCCCGCAGTGCCGACTCACGGGCTGGCGGCGCGGATCCGTGGGCGCCTGCGGCGCTTACACGACCTGCTGGCGTTCCACCTAAGCCCGATCGGGCGGAGCGCCAGGACAAACGCCAAGCCGCTGACGAGGACACTGTCCGCCGTGCCGATCGCCCTCGTAGTGTTAAGTCGGGCCTGTCCCCCTACAGGGGGAATATTCAAAGATAGTCAAAAATAATCAGGGGACCATTTTTTGACTATTTTTGAACATTTTTGGTGTATTTTTGGGGGTATTTTTGATTTTTCGTCCAAAATCGGCCTGTAGGGGGACAAGCCCGACTTAATCGTAGTGTTCTTCATGAGCCTGTTGAGTGTAGGTGTTGCGTGCGCGTGCACCGATTCGCCGTCCCGCATTGCAGTGCGCATGGCGGCGCGCATCCGTGATCGATCGGGCGATCGCCCGCTCTGAGCGTGCGGGTGGGTCCAGTCGGTTCGCGTTCCGGGCCAGCCTTGTCGGGATCACCCCTCGTTTCGGTCCTTGCTCTTTGCCCGAGTGCAATTCAAATCAATGTCCCCCCCCTCCTGCTCCGCGCTCCTCCCCCCTGAAACAGTTCTCCCCCTCCTGCTCCCGCTCCTCCCACTTTGTCCTCCCTCTCCACCTCCTCCTCCTCCTCCTCCTCCTCCTCCTCCTCCTCCTCCTCCTCCTCCTCCTCCTCCTCCTCCTCCTCCTCCTCCTCCTCCTCCTCCTCCTCCTCCTCCTCCTCCTCCTCCTCCTCTCCTCCTCTCCTCCTCTCCTCCTCTCCTCCTCCTCCTCCTCCTCCTCCTCCTCCTCCTCCTCCTCCTCCTCCTCCTCCTCCTCCTCCTCCTCCTCCCCCCCCCGCGACGGAGGAATAAACTGGGAAGGGGAAGATGGGAGCTGGGGGCGGGGAACTGGGAACTGGCGGCCGTGAACAGGGAACGAGGAAGCGGAAACTGGAAACAGGGGGCCAGGAATTCCTTGAACCTGGGAACCGGGAGCCCCAAGAAGCTTGGGAAACGGGAGCCAGGATTAGGAACCGGGAGAACCGCGAATAGGAACCGGAACCCCAGGAACCCCGGGAACCTTGAGATTTGGAGCCTTGTGAACCAGGAGCCCAGATTTCCGGGGAAACGGGAGCTGGCGACAGGGAGGAACGAACAGGAAACCGTGAATTGGGAACCGGGAGGCGACAACCTGGAGCCGGGGAACGGGGAACTGCTGGGAACTGGGGAACGGGATCCGCCGGGGACCAGGAACCAGGGAAACAGGAACCGGGAATTGAGAACTGGGGACAAGGAGTTGTTGGACCCAGGACAGGGGACCAGGAAGCGGAAAACCAGGAGGAGGAGGAGGGGGATGAGGAGTTTCTCCCAGTCGTCGTCGTCGTCGTCGTCGTCGTCGTCGTCGTCGTCGTCGTCGTCGTCGTCGTCGTCGTCGTCGTCGTCCTTGCTGTCGTCAGCGCCAGCTCCGCACGAGAGCCGCACGGCCGGGGGGAGGCAAGACGCACAGCATCCTCGGCAAGCCAGGCGCCGCCCCGCGCCCGCGCAAATGGGCGCCCCGCGTGGTGTGCAAGCACTGTGCGGTGGCGCCCTCCTCCTCGTCCTCCTTCTCACTCTTCCTCCTCCTCCTCCTCCTCCTCCTCCTCTTCCTCCTCCTCCTCCTCCCCCTCCTCCTTTTCCTCCTCCTCCTCCTCCTCCTCCTCCTCGTCCTCCTCCTCGTCCTCCTCCTGCGAGCTGAGGAGCCCGTCTTCTCGCTCTCGGGACCCAGCGCCACCGTGCACGGTTTGGGATGCCTTCTTGACCTTAAAAACGTTGTCCAAGGTGTTCCCAGATTGGCAGGTGTGGAGGGTGAGGCAAGATGTCGGTGCGGAGCACAGTTCTCCAAGGTGTTCCCAGATTGGATAACCAGTTGTGACGGGAGTGCCGAGTTTCTCAATTTTCGCGGGAGGAATTGCCCTCATTTGTGCGCACAGCGGTCAATTGTCAGCAGACTGCAGATGCAGATTAGACCAGAGGCTGAGTACCACCACCACCACCTTCTCCGTTTTCCTTCTCCTGGGCCCTGCGCTGCAGGCATTCGGGCGACGCACAAGAAAGGGTTCGACCGCGCAGACAATCGCGCGTAAGCTCCTCGCGTGAGGTCGCGTGTAGGCGCACTCGTCTCCAAGGTAGCGTGCCGCACTGGCGGCCCCTGTGAGCCGCCGCGTAAGGCTGCTATGCCATCTCGCGTAAGACCTGTTTTTGGTCGTCGCTCATTTGTCTGTTTGCAGTTTTACGGTCAGGGATTTTGGCTGAGCGTGCCGCGCCGCTGTTTGGTCACACCACGCTTCGGCGCGACACGCTAACCACTTCCCAGTCTCCGAGCGTCAACATCCCGAGCTTTTTCCAGCTCCCGCCCCGCGGAGCGGAGCCACGCGCTGTTCGCTTTCGCGGCGTAGCGTTTCGCCAGGGCTGCCGCCGCGACAGGCTGAGTAGGAGTTCCCGACTGCAGCTACTCCAGATTTCGTAATAAAAGGGAGGGGGTCTGGACCCTCCAAGACAAGCCATTTCAGACCTCCCCCGTGGGAGAGCCCTCCAAAACATCGTCCCCAGACCCCCCAGGCCCTCCAAGATAGCCTGGAAGATACCCCCCCCCCCCGAAATGAGACCCCCCGCCCTTTATTACGAAATCTGGAGTACTATTCTGTTTGGTTTTGTTTCGTTTTGTCACCCGTGAGGGGCCGGCCTCCTGCTCATAACGTCTCGGAGCACGCGGGCGCCCCGGCGGCCACCCGCTGCACCCGCGGGAGTGCTCCGTATAGGCGGCTCTGCTGCACGGTGCTGCTGCTCTTTCGAGCCGTCCCTTCCTGAAGAATGTGTTCCCCCCGCCTTGGCCGGCATGCTCTCGTGACGTGCTTTCGTTTCCATCCTGGCGGGCCCCTCGGTGCTCGCACCCTGGTTTTGGTAGAGGATGGTCCTCCGCCTCTCAGACTCTGCCCCCCCTCTCCGTCAAAAGCGGTTGCGAAGCGACGAGGTGTTCGTTGGGGTGTCCCGCTCACGATCCAGGTCTTGCTGCCACGTGCACTTCATGGATGCCTTCATGGTGGCTTCACTTGCACTTCACTGACGCCGCTTGCACTTCACTTCAGGTTTTGCTGCCACGATCCAGGGATGGTGGGGTGCCTTCATGGTGCCTGGTCGGCTGCTGGCCGAGTGGGGGAGGGGGCGTTGTCGACTAGGAGATCGTGATCCTCGCCGCCACGAGTGGGAAGAAGGGGGGTTGGAAGAAGGCACTCCCTAGACCACCTGCGCCCAGAGTGCTGGTAGGATTCCAGGAAGTTGGCGGCGATGGGCGGGAAAGAGCTGGCAAGACACACGGGGCACGTTTGCGCTTGCATTGATGTGGCGCAGCCTCTCACAGACGCAGCCGATCGCACAGATGCCGACGTTATCGTGTGCTCCCCAGCTTCACCCTCAACCTTATTTTCAGCATAGGCTGCCTTCTAGTTCCTTGTTCGCGCAGTAGTCCTCGTTCCTCTCATCGTCATGCCTATCTTCCTCGTGCTCATCCTCAGCATGATCAAAATCCTCATCGGCATCGATTTTCGCTCAAGCATTTCCAGGTACTTATTTGAGATCTTTCGAGCTTGGCCCGAGAGGCAGTTGTTTGGCCAAAGTCATGGCGCTTCGCAACATGCTGCAGGCGGGGCTTGTTCCAGTCATGGCGTTGGCAGGCCCTTCTATTTCGAGTTGCGGTTCACCTGGCGACAGGATGTCGAATGTCACCATGTCGTTGTCGCCAGACCCGATTCAAAAGGGCGATGGCTTCACTATCACTGTCTCTGGTATGCTCGATAAGGTCTTGGACAGCTTCACCGTCGACGCCAAACTTGACGTGAAGCTTTTGGGCCTCATCAATGAGAAGGTTGACAAGACGATCCCAGTCAAGATGTCGCCTGGGCTGGCTGCTGGTGTCCAGAACTTGGTCATCGGCCCAGTGGCTTTGCCCACTGACGTTCCAGGTTCTGCCGAGGTTGACGGGACTGTCACACTATCGGACGATGCTGGAAAGCCAGTGGCGTGCGTGAGCTTAAGCATGCACGTGCCCGCCGCACGTGCTCTCGACGATCTGCAGCTGCAGGGATCTTTCAAGCCAGCCGATTCGTTCGTCACGGCGGCAAGCAATTGCGGAAAGCCGACTGACCATTTGAAGAACATTGAGACTTCTGCGTCTGGTGGCGTCTCTACCCTCACGGGCACCTTGGATGAGGACATGAGCAAAGTCAGCGTAGACGTCGACCTTATCGTAAAGGCGCTCTTCGTCAAGGTTCCGTTGAAGTTGACCGTGCCGATCGCATACACACCTGGCATCAAGCAGGGAGCGCTCAGCGTGTCTGCTGGACCTGCGAAGGCGGCGTCCGTTTTGGCCGCAGCCGCGTGGTCTCCCACTGTGCAGGTCGCAGTGACCGGCACGGTCCAGGCCATCGATGGCAACAGCGAGGAGGTAGCATGCGTCAAGATCGATGATTCCAGCTACGCAGAGGAAGAGGCTTCGCTGGTCGTCTGAATCGATGAGCGCAGCCCCCGTTTGAAATGATTCAGCATGCTGACGCCACATCCGCCGGTGCGTGAACGTTTCAGAGATTATGGTTGGTGCTTGCAGTCGTTGATCGAGAACGGTCAAGGGCATTAGGGTTGGATAACACGAGGAAGCGGAGGAGGAGGACCAGGAGGAGGAGGAGGAGGAGGGGGAGGGGGAGGGGGAGGAGGAGGAGGAGGAGGAGGAGGAGGAGGAGGAGGAGGAGGAGGAGGAGGAGGAGGAGGAGGAGGAGGAGGAGGAGGAGAGGAGGAGGAGGAGGAGGAGGAGGAGAGAGGAGGAGGGAGGAGGGAGGAGGAGGAGGGAGGAGGGAGGAGGAGAGGGAAGGGAGGAGGAGGGAGGAGGAGGAGGAGGAGGAGGAGGAGGAGGAGGAGGAGGAGGAGGAGGAGGAGGAGGAGGAGGAGGAGGAGGGGAGGAGGAGGAGGAGGAGGAGGAGGAGGAGAGGAGGAGGAGGAGGAGGAGGAGGAGGAGGAGGAGGAGGAGGAGGAGGAGGAGGAGGAGGAGGAGGAGGAGGAGGAGGAGGAGGAGGAGGAGGAGGAGGAGGAGGAGGAGGAGGAGGAGAGAGGAGGAGGAGGAGGCGGAGGAGGAGGAGGAGGAGGAGGAGGAGGAGGAGGAGGAGGAGGAGGAGGAGGAGGAGGAGGAGGAGGAGGAGGAGGAGGAGGAGGAGGAGGAGGAGGAGGAAGAGGAGGAGGAGGAGGAAGGAGGAGGAGGAGGAGGAGGAGGAGGAGGAGGAGGAGGAGGAGGAGGAGGAGGAGGGGGAGGGGGAGGAGGGGGAGGAGGGGAGGAGGGGGAGGAGGGGGAGGAGGGGGAGGAGGGGGAGGGGGAGGAGGGGGAGGAGGAGGAGGAGGAGGAGGAGGAGGAGGAGGAGGAGGAGGAGGAGGAGGCAGAAGAGGAATAATAATATTAATAATAATAATAAGAAGAAGAAGACTAAGAAGAAGAAGAAGGAGAAGAATAATAATAATAATAAGAATAATAATAATAAGAAGAATAAGAATAATAATAATAATAATACGAAGAATAATAATAATAAGAATAAGAATAATAATAATAAGAAGAAAAATAATACTAATAATAAGAAGAAGACGACGAATAATAAGAATAAGAAGAAGACGAAGAAGAAGAATACGAATAATAAGAAACATAAGAAGAAGAAGAAGAGGAGGAGGAGGAGGAGGAGGAGGAGGAGGCGGGGGAGGAGGAGGAGGAGGAGGAGGAGGAGGAGGAGGAGGAGAGGCCGGGGGATTGTGGAGTCACTGTGGGTTTTAGACGAAAATTTACGATATTTCAGTTTGTTCCTCATCATTATGCTGATGTTTCCTTTCTCGTTTTCTCTCTCTCTCTCAATCTCTCCCACTCCCATTCCCATTCCATTCCCATTCCCAATACCATTACCATTACCATTCCCATCCCAATTCCCATTCCCATTCACATTACCGTTACCATTACCATTACCTTTACATTTATCTTTACCTTTACCATTACCATTACCATTACCATTACCATTACCATTGCCATTACAATTGCCAGTGCCATTACCATTGCCATTACAATTGCCATTATCATTGCCATTGACATTGCCAGTGCCGTTGCCATTGCCATGGTATTGCCATTGCCAGTAGCCACCCCGTTACCATTACCGTTACCATTACCATTACCATTCCCATTACCATTACCATTCGCCACCACCAGTACCATTGCCATTATCATTAGCATTACCAACACAATTGCCATTACCATTACCATTACCGCTGCCATCACCATTACAATTCCCATTCCCATCATCATTGCCATTACCATTACCGTTACCAGTACCATTTCCATTATCATTGCCATTATCTTTCTTACTACCACTACCATTTCCATTCCCGTTCCCGTTCCAAATACTACTACGATTCCCATTCCCATTCCCATTCATTACCATTACCATTACCATTACCATTACCATTACCATTACCATTACCATTACCATTACCATTACCATTACCATTACCATTACCATTACCATTACCATTACCATTACCATTACCATTACCATTACCATTACCATTACCATTACCATTACCATGACCATGACCATGACCATTACCATTGCCATGGCCATTGCTATTACCATTGCCGTTGCCGTTGCCATTCCCATTACCATTGCCAATCGCTACCCCGTTACCATTGCCATAACCATTACCATTACCGTTATCGTCACCATTACCATTCCCAGTACCATTATCATTACCACTGTCATTGCCATTACCATTACCATTGCCATTGCCATTGCCATTCGCCACTACCATTACCATTGCCATTCGCCACTACCATTACCATTACCATTGCCATTGCCATTGCCCTTCGCCACTACCATTACCGTTGCCAGTACCATTACCATTCCGATTAACATTCCCATTCCCAATACCATTACCATTACCATTACCATTACAACTGCCATTGCCATTGCCATTACCATTACCTTTACCTCTACCTTTACATTTACCCTTACCCTTACCATTCCCATTTCCGTTACCACTACCACTGCCATTTCCATGCCCGTTCCCATTCCCATTCACAGTCCCATTCCCGTTCCCATTCCCATTCACATTACCATTGCCATTACCATTACCATTGCCATTGCCATTGCCATGGCCATTACCATTGCCATTGCCATTCCCATTGCCATTGCCATTGCCATTGCCATTACCGTTGCCGTTGTCATTGTCATTGCCATTGCCAGTCGCCACCCCGTTACCATTATCATTACCGTTACCATTACCAGTACCATTACCATTACCTTTGTCATTACCATTACCATTCGCATTGCCATTGCCATTACCATTAGCCACTACCATTACCATTGCCAGTACCATTTCCATTGCAATTCCCATTCTCATGACCATTACCATTACCATTACCACCACCATTACCATTATCACTATCATTTCCATTACCATTACCTTGACCTCTACCTTTACCTTTACCCTTACCCTTATCATTTTCATTTCCGTTACCACTACCACTACCATTTCCATTCCAGTTCCCGTTCTTATTCTCATTCACATTCTCATTCCCGTTCCCATTCCTATTACCATTGCCATTATCATTACACTTACCATTGCCATTGCCATGGCCATTATCATTGTCATTGCCATTGCCAATCTCATTGCCATTGTCATTACCATTACCGTTGCCATTGTCATTGCCATTGCCAATCGCTACCCCCTTACCATTACCATTACCGTTACCAGTACCAGTACCAGTACCATTACCTTTGTCATTACCATTACCATTACCATCGCCATTGCCATTGCCATTCGTCACTACCATTACCATTGCCAGTACCATTTCCACTCCCATTCCCATTACCATGATACTACCGCTGCCATTACCATTAGAATTCCCATTCTCATTCCCATTCCCAATACTATTACAATTTCCAGAACCATTACCATTACCATTACCAGTGCCATTACCATTACCACTACCACTATCATTTCCATTCCCGTTCCCGTTCCCATTCCCACTTCCATTCCCATTACCATTACCATTACCATTACCACTGCCATTGCCAGTACCATTACCATTACCATTACCATTACCTTTAACTCTACCTTTACCTCTACCCTTACCATTACCATTACCATTGCCATGGCCATTACCATTGCCATTGCCATTGTCATTGCCATTCCCATTGCCATTGCCATTGCCATTAACATTACCATTACCGTTGCCATTGCCATTGTCATTGCCTCGCTACCCCGTTACCACTATCATTACCGTAACCATTACCAGTACCATTACCAGTACCATTACCATTACCACCATTGCCATTGCCATTGCCATTCGAGGATTTCAGTAGGAATCATTCAGTGGAGGGTTTCAGTAGGAATCCACATGTGGAGGATTTCGGTAGGAATCATTCAGTGGAGGGTTTCGATAGGAACCCTTCTGTCGAGGATTTTACTGTGAATCCTTCTTATGGGGGCGTCCAATAGGAATCCTTCTAGGGGGAGGGCAGATGTGGTCACGTCGCATTCCTTTTTTTTTTTTCTCCTGGCGCCCCCCCCCCCCCAGAAAAAAAAAAAAAAAAAAATTGGGGGGGGGGGGACGCCCGGAGAAAAAAAAAGGCAGAGAGGTAGCAGGGGGGGAGAGGGAGGAGGAGGAGGAGGAGGAGGAGGAGGAGGAGGAGGAGGAGGAGAGGAGGAGGAGGAGGAGGAGAGGAGGAGGAGGAGGAGGAGGAGGAGGAGGAGGAGGAGGGAGGAGGAGGAGGAGGAGGAGGAGGAGGAGGAGGAGGAGGAGGGGAGGAGGAGGAGGAGGAGGAGGAGGAGGAGGAGGAGGAGGAGGAGGAGGAGGAGGAGGGGGCGGAGGAGGAGGAGGAGGACGACACAGAGCAGAGTTTGCACAGAAACAGTCGCGAACTCAGCGCGAAAGTCTCGCGCGTGCGCTTTTGAACCCTTGCGACTCCACAATCCCCCGTTCTCGAGGAGGAGGAGGAGGAGGAGGAGGAGGAGGAGGAGGAGGAGGAGGATTTTTTCAACATCAACCCAGAGAAGGTGAGCCGACAGATTGAAACAGCCTGGGCTGAAACAGAGCTGCCGGCAACGGACCAAAGCGGTGGCCGACGCGCACGACGGGCACCCCAGGGACCGAGGTCAGTCGGAGTCGCCAGACCCCGCAGACCAAACGCGAGCAGCTCCTGCCACAAGAGGGGCGTCAACCTCGTCGGAGAGGCGAGCCCCTGCCCTGCGGAGCTGCTCTTGCCCGCCCCCACCCGCCTGGGGGGGGGGAGGGGCGACAGGCTCCCCCGCCCCCACCGCATTGGGGGGGGAGGAGGAGGAAAGAGATCCCAGGACACCAGGCGGCCTAGTCCGTCCCGCCCCCACCCCAGTGCACGCACGAGGCGACGGCGGGACGACGGGCGTCTCGTAGAAATCAGATTTTAGCCTAGAACGCTAACCAAGATGTGCACGTGGATTTCTGTA